GCCCCCACACACGCACCCGCGCAGCCGGGACAGGCCGGTTCCCTCGCACCCACCCGTGACAGACCGGCCTTCCCCAGTTCCCAGGGCCCAAGGAGCAACGAGCGGGGTGGCTCCGTGCAGCCCCACCTCGTAGCCGCCTTCTCTTGTGCCCTGCGGCTCCTCCAAGTTTTCCTTCGTCCGTGTGTGCGCTCTTCCCCCCAGCGGTCCCAACTCGGCTGAAGGCGGCCCGCAGGTCTGTGGGTCTCTTGAGCCTTCCTGCTGCCACCCCTTTGCCTATCGTCTGCTCCCTGCCCTGTGCTCAGTGCGGGCTTGTTTCTGTCTTCTTCATCCTCTGTGAAACAGCGGTTTTCTCCCCTGAATGACCTGACGCCTTGGAGGGCCATCATCACTGGGTATATCTGTCCTCATCCTCCTTCTTGCCTTTCCTTAAAGAACGTGTTTGTGTCTGTCCCTTGTTGGTAGTGCCGTGTCTCATCTCTGGAAAAAGATCATTAAAAAGATTATATCTCTCTTAAAAAGAGAGAGAAAGTTTGGCTGGTGGTGGAAGGGAGTAGGAGGGACTTCCTTTGAAGTAAGAGCCAAAATAGAGCAGATTATGACTGACTGGACTTTGCATTTGTGGGTTTGCATGTCTGTGCATTCATGTGTGCCATGGCTAAATGTGGTCCAATTGCTATACAGAGTCACAGCTCTGAAGAGAAGTCTACAAGTGCAGAACATCTAAAAAGCATCTCTGGATAAATTGGAAGGCTATTGAGTATTTATGTGTGTGTTTTGTGACTTCACAGCTTTTCATTTAAAAAAACACTTTGGGGGAAGATGAACTTTCCTTTACCATTTCTTGTATTGTAGCAACTAGTGCTCAAATACTCTCAGGCATTAGAAATTCTAATGCTTTTCCTTGAATTATTTTCATGTTGATTGCAGATCTGGAGTTTGGAATTATACTGGCTTAATTCCCTTTATCTGTTAAACTAAGGGAGCTTTAGTGTTGCTGGTGGCCAAGGCCAGCAGCATGTATACCCGTGTTTCCTTAAGATAGCTAATGAAGGCAACTGTTAGAGTGGTGTTTCTTCTCATACGAATGCTGTTTAACCAAAGTTGGACTGATGCTTTCTAATCTTACGCAGGATTCTCAGCAGGGTAATTGTTTGCTTACAGAACCCATCTTAGCATGGCTTGAATTGGTGATAACTCAAGACTAGAAAAGGTGTGCAGGATATTACATTTAGATTATGATTAGTAGTGCTTATTGGACTCTAAGAAAGTAAATACTGTATTCTTCCAGGAAACGGGTGACTGGTAAAAGCTGTTTATCTGCAAATCAAGGGAATCACTGAAATTGATAAAGTGGTTTGTTTTAAATGTGTGGTCCAGTTGTCAGCTGGGTAAGGAGTTTTGTTTACAAAGACTGCCCTATAATCAGATAGGATTCTTGTTTGTAACTTACTACCTTCACTTTCAATATCTTTTATGATTAGAAATCTCTCCTACAGTAAAGGAATGAACTAAAATAGAGAATGTTACTGGTGGAAGGCAGTTATCATTCCTTGCCTTTTCTTAATGGAAATTAATTTATACACACGAGTCTGTAGCAAACTGGTAACTTTAATAAATAGGTTGGATTTATTATGCTTTTCTGTCTTCTGAGACAGTTGAAAAGATGTAGCATTGCTGTTATCTAAGTCCAGGCAACATAAGAAGTAGAATTTTGGTTATACATGAAAAACAAGCTAAATAAAGTCTGGTTTCAGATACAAGTTAATTTTTAATTTGTCTTCATACTTTAATTTTCTGGTTTTGAAATTGTCAGTTAAAGCTTGACATTTAGTTCTTTCTGGTTTTATTTTTAGTACAGAGAGCTGAAAATCTGTCATATCTAGCTCTTTATAAATTTTCTTGCTGTATGTTTCAGCTTTCTCTTATATTAGTTTATTATTTCAAAATGGCTTTCCTGGCTGTCCATCCCCAATGTCTCTTCCCGCTGATAAATTCTTTTAGTAGTTTTGTGTGGGAAAGCCTAACAGACTTTCATTGCATTTTGTCATTCTGGCTTCAAAGCTACATGAAGGTGTTTTAGAGGACTTCTTATCTTCAGTTGACTAATAAATTGTGCATTTTTCTTATCTCTGGATTCTTCTTTTAGCACACTTCACAGAATAGATGAAAGATGGTTAGTAGAGAGAGGTTTCTTTTTTTTTTTTTTTTTTCCTCATGGTGGCAACTTCAACAAAATTATGTGAAAGGTCCGTGGAAAAGGATTGAAAAAAAAGCATTATTTATACCTTAAAATCTTGTTATTGCCAGTGTGAAAACACGTTAAAACTTCATCCAGAAAACAGTCAAAGACTTGCTTCTAACATATCTTATGGTGTGGATGTTCTGGGTACTTTATGTATTAACTGGAACAAGTGTTCAAATAAATTATCAGATAATATGTAATATCTAACTCTTTCTGCAAAAGAATGCCTCGTGTACACGTTAATAATGTGGTGTTTTTTTGTTTTTTGTTTTTTTTTTGCTCTTTTTGTCCCCTAGAAATGGGTCTGCTTTCAGAAGATGCAATGTACTAGATGCGGTGCTTGGAACAGGATTAGTCATGGCATCAGAACTATGTAAAACAATCTCTGAGGCAAAGCTGGAAAGGCACAAGAACTTATTCCTAAATTACCGAAATCTCCATCACTTTCCTTTGGAGTTACTGAAAGATGAGGGGCTGCAGTATTTGGAGAGACTTTATATGAAAAGAAATTCCCTGACCACATTGGTACGACAACCTCTTTATTGTAATGTTTACTGTCTGTATGTTTAGGAATACTGATTTTTTTGAAACAGAAAACCCAAGATAATGAAAAAAAAAATCTTATAGCAAATCTGATCCTGAATGATGTCATCCATTGTGAAATATGAGTATTTGGTTGTATTATGTTTGAAATTGCATAGGTAATAATAGTATAATAAATGAAAGTTCATGACATTTTATGGTTACCCTTTTGAAGCTCTATAAAGGTCTGCTGGGGGCTTTCTTGTGAGGTTTGTTGTTTGTTTTTTTTTTTAACTGCTACAAATTTTGCTCACGTCAGTGGTGAGGCCTTTCTACTGTTAGGTGATACTATGCACTCTAGTCTACATTCCTTCATTAGGCTAAACAACTTTTAACTTGGTGTGTGCCTTATTTTAAAGGCACTGGCAATCCCCAAGTCTAATTCAAAGCTTGCTGTTAGGGTGCCAGTGAAAGCTTGTGTCTATGGGCTGCTGTTGATAGGAGGACGGACAGTTGATTTCAGGGTTGTGGGGTTTTCTGTTCTGGTTTTTTGTTTTGTTGTTTTTCCCTGAACTGAACAAATTCTCACTCCAAATTAATGTTGTGACCTCAGAATTCAGTGTGGGGTAGTTAAATAACTCTTGAGACTTTCTGAGCTGGTAAGGTGCTCTCTATAGAATCAAAACTTTCCACTGTCAATAAGGCTCAAGTCTCCAAGTAATTCAGTTGCTTGTTCTTTTTTCTTGGGCTCTTCTACGGTATGATAGGTAAAATAATAGCCAGGGCAGAGAAGCTGAAGGGTCTAACTACTTAAAATTCACCAAAATTATATGGTTTTCAGTGCATCCTAGAAAAAGCCCAGTACTCCAGATTAAGGAATAGTGTTCAAAGCTTTGATATGTTAGAAATCCCCGATAATGGTTTCACCTCATGGGCCAAAAGCTGTAAGGATTCTGAAAATTTTATGCCTTTTCTTCATCTTGAATTAGTCTCTTAAGTTTGCATGTACTGTAAAGAATTATTTTGGCACTCCGGTTTTGGGCAGGTCCTTTGCATAATAATTTAATGGGAGGATAGGATTCGTTGTTACAAATTAAAGCTGCTTTAAAAATTAAACCGAAGACTGTAAACAGTTCTGCTTTGATACTTTGTGAAATCCAGCGGTTATTTAGTGGTGTAAGGTTCATGAAGTCTGCGCTGCTCAAAAGATGAAACAATAATGAGGAGAGGTTTCCATATCGCTTTGCTGCATATATGTGTTAGAGCCCGGTTTTGTTTTTCTCAAAGCAATTATAGAATAGAAACCAAAACGAAGTCTTGCAAGTAACAGTTTAGTTCCATTTTCCTCTCTATATCTGTTAATACTACCAGCCAATAGATGTGTATGGTGGCATAAGAGTAATTACCCATGGTTGCTGTCAACAGAAGTTGTATTAAATGAGGGAGGCAGCTCTCATGCAGTACTGTTCAGTATTATAATTGAGGCCTGGGATAAAGGAACTGAAACAATACTTAATGTAGATCATACCTAGGCAAAATTACTTGCAAACAGCATGAAGTAGAGCATTGGATTTCAAAACCATCAGGATAACTTGCTCATAATGTGACTTGGTGGAATGTCATTCAAGTGCATAGCACTATAGCTAGGGACCAGGCAAACAAAATTTGGTCTCATTCACTGAGCATCTGTTCAACAGAATAGATGTTGGAAGTTGTAGTGGACCAAAATAGATCAAGTCAGCAGTGTGTTACAAAAAAAGGCAGATGTCTTTTTGGAACATAGAAAGTTTCACAGCATCAATGAAAAGCAGAAAAGAATTATTGGATACTGTTAAAGCGTAAGCTAGTGCAAAGATTGAGTCTGGGTTTTCATACTTACGAACAACCTAGGTAAATTGGAAAGAATCTAGAAAGTGGCAACAAGGGATTTTTAGAGAACATGCCCTATGAGAGCAGGTTGAGATATTTAGGTTAATTCCTCTTACAAAAAGAAGATGGAGAGGAAAAAAAAAAATAGAAGAGGATAAATGGGTAGAGCAGAAATCATCAGTATTTTTACAAAGTGGTATTTTCATAATGATTTTTTTGTCTGATGCTGGTAGGACAAGTAGTACTCTCAATTTCAGTTAAAGAAGTAGTAAGTTACTTTTGGGGGGGATGGGGAGACACACAAGACATGGATCTCCTCTGAGAATAGTTGTAAACAAATAGGTTATTGAAGGAAGATATCTCTTTCAGCCCTGTGCTCCTTTGATTCTATGCAAGATGATGATCATTACCTCATCAATAAATATTTTAAATTGCATATCGATTATTAGCAACCACCAAAACTAAACCTGCACCATATTTTTTAAAGTTAGGTGGTACTTTTGTCCCACCAGTTCTGAAAAATGTTGACTAAATCAGCTTTTTTTTTTTTTTTTTTTAATTCTTTGCTCTTCTAAAATGATTCTAGTCCTTGACAGATGGCTCCTACAAAAATGTCTGGAATAGTTACGCTGACAGAATTTATATATACCTTGCCTAAGAATAATTTCATTTTTGTCTTCATTGGCAAGATGGAAATGACAGAGAGCTATGCCATAATGAATGGATCAAGAAGCTATATAGCACACCTGTATCTCAGCATCAAGTCTCCCAGCTTCTCCTCATTTATGTTTGACTGATAACATTAGCCTTCAGTAATCCTATTTCCCCATCTACTACAAGGAAATATGCATTGGCCTTTGGCACTGTCAGAAGCATGATTTAGCCATATCAAAGAACAATTGTTTGCTCATAATTTACTGACTCAGAATATGCAATGCTGCCCTGTTCAGACAGATCAGTAGGTTCACTTTTTGAAAAATGTCCAGTGGGTGTGAGGGCAAAGCAAGCATCGCTAAACTGGTGGCGGAATTGGTGATTCATTGATCATCATTGTGTGTTGTCATGTCACCAATAGAGACGAGAGTTAGTTTTCCCTCTCAACTGATGGATCATAAATAGGTTTTTAATCATAATTCCATTGTAGGGTGTTGTATTGAACAACTTTGATTCAGACCCATTGTTATTGTCGTGCTCAAGAAGATCAGCAGAATTTCTATTCTAGACTCAGTAAACTGTAAAGTTGTCTCTCTCCTGAGTTTAGCTCTCTTACAATATGAAGCAGTTAAAGCAACAATAAAAGTATAACCTTCATGTATAATGTGAAAATAGTTTGTGATTCAGGTTAGTATCCTTATTCTAAGAAAGGGTGTAGCATGACAATGAATTTGTTTTTTCACATTCCCTCTTCATTTTTTTAAATTAAAGCTTGATTATTTTTTTTTTTTTTTTTGGTGCTTGATCAGCCTTTGTATGTTTTCCCAGTTTAAGCTTCTCTCTTTGACCAAATAAAATTTTGTGCTGAGAAGATAAATGTACTGTAGCAAACCTGCCGGTAGGTGGCAACAACTGATTAGTTATAGCATGTTTCTAGGGTCTTGACGTCAACAGATTCATATATTTAGCCATCGTTTGCTCTTCCAGAGTTAAAAACAAACTGGTTTTTGTACTCAGAAGATCTAGGATGTGGCATGTTTTCTACGTAAGACTATTATGACATTACTTTTTCAGGTTAGCATATTCCTTCATACTAGATTTATAAGCATGAAGTGTTTTAGATAATGATATACCTTAAATTTACATGACAGTGAAAATTGCTAGGTATTTTTAACAGGAAATTGACTGTGTGATCGAGCTGCTTTCAAAATTCATTTGTTTCTGCATATATGTATATTGTAAAAACTTTTTTCAATAAAACATACTTATGTTTTAAGTAGATTTCTTAAGCAATAAAACTGTCTTAACCTTGAATAATTTTGAGTACGGTTACCGACATGACATCTGAAACTTGTGAAGCTGATTTTGTGATGTATGTTCATGGTTATAGATGCCATCAAGAAACAGAATTGCAGCTAGGGATCAGTTAGCAGTTAGAAAATTATATGCATGTAAATATGGTAATCTAGTTTGATGGATTCAGCACTGCTGGCTTGGTGGTAATTGATTATAAGCTGCACAAAGTTTGTAGGTCATTTCCCAGTTTAGCAGCATTGCAAAATAAAATACATTATGGTTAGACATCTTGTATATATGTTGTTCTGCTCTAAGTCTGTAAAGGCCGCAGCTTCTTAGCAGTCTCTTGGCTTCACCTAACTTAATTATTTGAATATGTTTTCGAAAGTAAGATTTTGGTAATCCATCTTTTCAGCCTCAGAAGTCTGACTACCATTTGGTTGAGGACACATAAATATCACTTCTAGGCTGTAGTTCTGTTTCAGTAGCGAAATGCTGACCCTTGATATATCCCAGATTGCACTGATGGAGAATGTGCGGGGATGTGGAAATAGGGTATTGCATACAAGCTCCTTGTTTTTTTTTTCTGTGACTAGCTGCTGACATGTTTTAGTGTGGTTATTAAAACAAGTTGGGTACACAATATGTGTGTGTCTGTTTTTTGTTTTGAAACCTAAAAAATCTCTAACTCTTTTTCAGCCAGAAAACCTTGCACAGAAGCTTCCAAACCTCGTGGAATTGTGAGTTTGTGTAGGAGTTCTAATATATTTTCATTATGCTGATCCATCTTACCTTAAAATAATTCTAGAATGTATTGCTTGCACATAACCTATCTCTTAAGTGTGAAGGGTTTTCTTGCAGGGCAAGAAAGGTTATTTTTCTTTCTCTTTTTTTTTTTTTTTTTTTTTTGAGAAGGTATGTCCAGATGTATTCAGACTCATGTTAATTTTTTTTTTGTAATTTCTTGTTTATTTTATAAGAAGAACTGTTATACAAATGTCTACACTGCTAAAGGAAACAAATACTTACGACCCCACCCCCATCTCCTCTGTAGACTGTTGTTGCCCTGACAAAGCACTAGAACCTCCAAATGCAATGGTGAGATGGTTGTGCCAGAGCCACAGGTTACTGCCTCCAGCCCATCCCTAGTTGCTCATTTCCACCCCAGTTACCAGGGGTATTATGATCTCAGTCTTGCTGATAGTAGTAATAAGTTGGTTTTTTGGAACCAAGTCACAGATTGTCAAATAGTTTTTTTGAGCAAGTAGGGGTAGTAACTATTTAATAATGATTGCTGTGGGCAGAATAGTTTATCCAGTCTTGTCCAAAGAATGGATGTCACATGAACTGAATTATTTTGGCAATTAATTTTAAGCTGTAAGTCCCTGAGTCAATGTCTTTTTTTCCCCTCCCCTTTTCTTCTTGTAAGGTTACGATTTCCTTGTATGGTAGGATTGGCAGTGGGGCAGGTTAAAAGGGACATCCTCTTTTTCCCACATAACTCACTTGGCTCGCTTTTGCTTGAGTAACTGATGGACCATTGATTCTGTTTATTTACTGGAAAGCTCCACACAGGAGGAGGTGTATATCTGAGCAGTCTAATGCATTCAGCTGTCTGATCTTGTCATCTTAATTTGGCCCTTGAAACCACACCTTTCTGGTACACGCGACCACATTATAATTGAACTGTTTTGTAGGTCACTGCAGTCTTCAACTTGCTTAAGACGCAGTCTTGTCTTATCATGCCTGAGTCTTGAGAGTATGTTTATGCTCTGAAGCAGTAAAACAAAGACTTTTGTATTTGATATACTTACTATTTAATGATATGCCATGAGGCATCAGGAAATCTCTCTGTTATCTGATGGAGCCTTTAGGAAAACCAGTATAAATCACAGCTTAAAATCTCTTACAAACACTGAATTGTAGGAGTCAAACCTAGTTATTTGCGGTCCGCCAAGCTTAGTTGTACCACCATTATCCCACACATTCTGGTGGTCTAGAGAACTGTATTGGGCCTGTGGTTTGTCTAGCTCTAATAATACAAGTCAATTTTTGACTTGTAAGTAAGAGATGTTTTGTTGACAGAAGAGACCACAAAATAAATTTTATTTAGAGAATAACTTGTTACAGTAGCTTTAAATTTTGAAAGACAAACTTAACTGATTTTCACGTTCTTGAGAGTTACATCCTTAGCAATTTCACTATATTTTTTTAAAAATTTCAGTATTGTCTGTGTTTCTTTGTATACTGTGTCCCTCATGGTGGGATATGAGGTGTAGATCCTCATAATATAAATTTTTTTTTTTTTTTTTTTTTTTTTTTTAGCTTGAGTGTAATAGTTCACAAGTATTTTCAGGAACTGCAGCTGAAATGAGTAGAACTCTCATCCTGAGGTATATATAAGGATTTCTACAAACATACCTGCTATCCTTATGTTTGTTGCATTTTTAGTAAATTTTAAATGTCTGCAATTTTTAAAGAAAAAGAGAAGGCTCAGGTGCTCCATCCAGTTGAAATCTTCATATGTCTTTTTCCTTGTTCTGCCTCTACCTCCCTGAAAAGACAGTCTCCTACTTTTGGAAGTGCTGTTGGAATGGAATGGAAAAAAATATTCTGTGTAAATAATTTCCATGTGTGCCTAGGCGGCTGGACATTGAATAGTCAGTATGCCTTTACAATTAGTTATCAATATTTGAAAATTCTGTTAATCTGAGAATAGTTTTTATGTTACTTGTAGTACTGGAAGTGCTCCAGCAGAGGGTGCTGGATATTCTTAGTGAGAGCGCTGGCCACCCTCACTACCTACCTAAATGACAATGTGTAAGATCGGGTTTTTCTTTTGAAAAATGTGCTCTAGGGTTGAATAACCCACTTGCAGTGAGTAGATGATGTGTTTATTTCTTCAGACAGTAAAGGTGTAAGAGTTTATGTGCAGGGGAAAATGTTCATAATTGTATAATTTTTGTGGGTTTGGGCTTTTTTCTTTTCTTGCCCAGCATTTAGTGTGGAATAACCTGGTGATCAAATATGGTTCATTCTGGTTATTCTCTCTGCTTTATTTTTCCTTTTGTTTTCCTCTTACGACTCTCAAATCTAAAGCCCATTATTATTGTAACTGTGAATGTTTTGTTTTAAATAATTGTACGTCATTCTCTTTTATGTTAATCATTTAATAGCCTAAGTGAAACTTAAGTACCTATCCATTGCCAGTTTATACACTTTCCACAGCTTTTGTGGTCATAGAGAGGAATGGCTTTGAGGGTGCTCTTTCAGTCTGAAATTGGATATTTTGCAAACTGATTATGTAGCAGAAGTCCTTGAGGGTAACAGGTGGTGTCCTCTGCTTTTTTTTCTCCTCCCCCCAGGTACCTTCATTCAAATAACATAGTTGTTGTACCTGAAGGTAAGTAATCTACCAGCTCACAATAAGTGGCAGGAATCATAAAATATTCATTTTTCTTCTTTGAAGAGGCCTATTTTTCCTTTATTTTCCCATAAAACATTAAATATTTTCATAAAAATATACCAGTGTAGCTCTTAATAGATAATATCCTTGTTTATGCTATGTTAAATTTTTTTAATGAATTCTTAAATGCACCTAAATGCTGTTTGCTTCAGTTTTAATTGCAGAAAGTGAAAAGGCTAAATGGCACTCATCTACAGAAACAAAAATCCAGAGTGTCTTCTGCTTTCAGCCAGCCACCACACAGAATACTCTGCTGGTTTAGATCATGACAGATTTGAAACCTAAAGTGTCAATAACTTGTACTAGTTTCTCTTCCTTGTCTTAATTGCAGAGTTATGTGCCCAACTTCAGGAAAGTACTTTAAACTCTTTCTGAATATATAAGTTGGATGGACTCAAAGCAAAGGAATGGAAAAAAAGTGATCTCAGATCAGAATTGTCTGAGGAGAATCGAGAAATGGGAGTGTTCTGTACCTCACTATTTTTTTTCCTCCCTGTCTCACTCACTCCAGCAGTATTGTTTGTTAGATAGATAAGCATTTCTACAAACTATGTCATTCAGTTGTGAGACTGGCTTTAATAAGTCAAAATCTGCTCAGACATAGGTGTTAGGTACTGTGGCTTTTTATCCTCTCATAGTCCTATTAAGATTTTAACATTACTGTTGGGTCACATTCATGTTTTAATCTGTTCTCTCACAAGCCATTGGCTCCCTCGTTAAACTGCAGTTTCTGGACCTAAGTGATAATGCCCTCGAAATTGTGTGTCCAGAGATTGGCCGCCTGAGATCTTTACGTCATCTTCGCTTGGCTAACAACCAGCTGAAATATTTACCTGCAGGTAAGTACAAATGCGTGAGGGATTACAGCATTGACAAATGCCATTTGAACTTAATTTGTGTGGTGATCTGCTCTGTGTTTATTCGTATCTCACAGGTGAAGCGTGGTACAACTTGCATTTAAAGACTAGGCAGGGTCTGCCGTTGTGTGTATTGTACTAAATACACTCTGTAGTTAGAAAAAAGCCATGCTGTATGTACTTAAGGTAACAAAAAGCCCTGAAAAATGCTTCTGAAGTGGGGAAAAAAAAGTATCTATTTAACAGCCTTTGCCATTGTATCAAGAAACAATTGAACTTCCTTGAGAAGACACAAAATGCCAATGACAACTGTCATTATGATAATATTATGTTTCTTCCAATTTTCAAGAACATAAAGGATTCCAGTCCTTCCTTTCTTTCTTTTCGCCCAACAGCCCTATTCTTGTATTTTCTGAAAAGACGCATGTCTACTAGGTTTGCCTATGGCAGCTCTACCTCGCTATGACAGTAAATAACAAATGTTTGTCTTGCTTGTTTATAATAAAAAAGCAAAATTTATTCAAAGTAAATGTGACACAAAGTCAGAAAAAGTTGGCCACAGGCAGATTTTGAATAATTTTTTTTGCCTTCTAAATACTTTGATAAGCAGACATAACTCATTATTCTTCTTCCATTGCCCTTACATCTTTCCAGATGATGGTGATTTTTAAATATTTTATTTTTAATCTTTCTATGGCATATTTGCATTTTCTGATCTGCAGAGATGATAAAAATATAAGGGCAGCATTTTAAAAAAATGGTTTAACTTAATCTAACAGGATTAGCTTTTGGCTCTAATTTTAAATAACTTCTCAATGTGACCTTCATGTGTTTGTAACTTTGCATTGCTTATTCTCAAGAAAATATATTGCAGTTGCTCCTTGAAGTTTTGAGTGCAGAAATCTAGCTGTCCTTCCCTTGTACTTTTCTAGGCATAATAAGCTTAATAAGAATAAGTCAAAGGATGATTATGGTTAGAAAGAAAAAAAATTATATGACTATGTAAATGCTCTGGAATGAAATTAGATAAACCTGTTAAACATTATGACCCAAGGCCAATAAAATTTCCATCAATTTTCAGATGTCCTATATTCAAAAGAAAGGAGTCACTTGAGTATGCTTTATGTTCCTCAAAGATAATTTACCTTATGGTGCTGTACCATGAAAGAAAGACTTGTTCAAAGAAAAAGTGACACATTTTCTGCAAAACTTCACACATTAACTTAAAAAGGTTCCAAAAAAGACTTTCAAAAGGATAATTTACATTACTGAAGAGTTGATTTTGAGTCTACCACATTTGATTAGGAACTGGTATCAGCTGCATAAGCACACTGCATTTAATTTCTCCTGAAGTTTACAAAATTTGGTAGTGAGCATTGTCCCCAAGTGCATTTAGTTTTGTGTGCGTGAAAATTTTGCATGCTTAGACTAATACTACTGTTGCGTACTTTTGAATTGGAGAATCCAGTGGTGTCTGGTCTTTCTGGTTTTGCTGGTAGTGTACCATCAGTTCACACATATGCCATTACTGCTATCGTTACTAATCCTGTCTGTTCAGATGCTGTCACTGTCAACATGACTGGATGTCATACAACTTGAGTGTTATCAGTCCAAGCAAGATAAATCTTTTACTTGCACTGGAGAGTTTGCCCACTGGAGAGTTAATCTACTGCATTGAGTGTTTCCTAAACATAACGCTTCCTGAAGAGGGCTTCCAAGAATATTTTCATAATTTTTATTTGTAAAATTGTGAAGATTTTAAAGATTACTTTATAACAAAATCTTTGCATTTGAAAATAACATTTATGTTCAACAGTTAAAAAAACAGAGCAGAATAGTTTTGATTAATTGTTTTATCCGTAATTATATTTGTAGCATGAATCTTCATAATAGTGTTAAATAGCGTTTTGTCAGGAAAGCTATCAAAGTTACTAAAATGAACTAGGATGAGATGTGACTTCACTGCAGTACATCATTTTAGTGTGTGTTAACTGCTTTCTTCACAGCAGATACTGGAAAGACAGATTTTAATTGCTCTTAATTTATAATAACTAACCATTTAAGATATAATTTAGCTTCTACTAGTGCAGTTTGTGCAGAATTTAAAAGTCTGCATTAAAAAATAGCTTTCAGGTATAGGTGATGGTGATTTATGGAAGTAACTTTCCAAAACTCGTGACCATCATTTTCTTCCAGACTTAGGCCTCCACATACCGCACAAATGGCAGTGAACTGTTTATCACAGCAGAGGATCTGGTTAAGAAAGGCTGATCAGTATTCACCTTGTGTAATGAGATAGGCCAACCTGCAGCGTAATGATGTCATCACATAAAAAGCTTACTTTAGGATGGTTGCCCTGTCATTTCTCTTGTCTCTCCCTTCCCAGTTTCTGGTGTTATAAGTAGCCTCAGTTTTTGTTGAAACAATATGGATATCTAGGAGGATACTCTCAGTAATATCCTTAATTGCTAAAAAAATCTCTTCATTACAACTGCAGAACAGTTGGGTGGTAAATGTTTGCCATTAAGTGGCTGAACGCCTATACTTTTCTACTGCATTTTATATTTTAAGAATGATTCTCTGTTTTGACTTCCTTAATTGTGATTAAGAACTGAAAGAATCAATGCAATGAATAGTATATGTTGATTCATTATCCATTTGCAATGTTTTTGTTCCACAGTTGTGCTCTTAATGTTCTCTTTTAGTATTTAAGAATTGCCTTGGAAAATCTAGCATAACTCTAATGTTAAAACAATTGAAATAGTCTGCATAATGAAGCCTTATAAAGACTTATGTCTTCAGTCTGATCGTAGACATTCTTCAGACTCTGATAAAGGTTGAGCCTGTGCTGTGGTTTATCTTTAATGTGATGGGCAAGATTTTAGTCTCTTAAGTACCTGTTTTCATAAAGCTTGTGAAAATGTAATACTGAAGACCTCTGTTCTTTTCTCAGTTTTGGTCATGATTGTCCAACTACTTTTGAAAAGTTACTTTAAGGGAGGAGGTGGGGGAGAATGATGAAAATACATGCAGACAGCATGAATACATAAGCCTTAGTTTCCTGAAAGGATCAGGCAATACAGGACTGATGAGGGGAAAAAGGGCATTAGGCAAAGCATGGAAATTGTGTTCCTTGGAGATTAGAAAACACTTTCTGTGCTTTGGCACTGTTGTAGTGTAAATGCTAATCCTACCTTCACTACCGAATCAGTGTCACCCCTGGATAAGATCATGTACTTTGGCTTCAAGGCACTTTGTTTAATTGTGCGCTACTGCTGAAACAATGCTATTTCCATCATGCATCATTAAATTGTCGTGAGAATTGTTGAAATATGATGAAGCTAAGCTTGATGAGAAGCAAAGGGAAAAAACTTGTCCAGAATGAGCATGTTGAAATTTAAATACAAAATGGCTGGAAGAAAATGCTTTGTGAAATTCTCTTGAAGACATGTTTTTGAATATACTTTGGATAAGGTTAATAAGTGGAGTGGACCAGCTTCTGCCTAATGCAGAGTCATCAGTATCTAGATTCTGCGGTAATCAGAATCGCTAATTGAGAGACTGTCTTTGAGAGGAAAGCTGATTAAAAGAGCTGCAGATAAGCAAGAGGAGGAGATTTAATATTATAAAGTTCTCCTGAGCGCTTTTTTCCATTGAAATGCATAGCATTTTTTTTGTTCTGCTAACTGTAAATCTTGCAGCCTCTGTCTTTAACAATTTCTTGGTTTTTTTTTTTTTGGTTCTGGTACATGTAATTCTGAATACGATGTGAAGTTTTGTGAAGTTTTCTACTATTTAAGTGTAGCACTCTACTAAATTCTTGAGAGCCGTTTGGAAATATGTAATGCCAGAGATCTTAGGTGGAAAAAATCCTAAGAGTTGCAGCATAAACAAAAGATGTTTTTTTCATATTATTACATTAGTTTGTGTATTAGCTTGACATAGAGTTGACATCATGTTTTCATAGTAGTTTAACTTCATTTTTTTTGATATTTCTCTTTATTGACATATTGATGCCTCATTTTAATTTAGAATTGTAGAGTTAGTCCTATATGAATGTGCTGTCAGAAGTAAATTTTCTGAATCTTGTCACTTATGAATGACTAATTAAGAGGTTCCCATTTGCTTCTGATGTTTATAATGCATATGATATTTCAGCTCCTTTAATTCTTGAGAAATTGTATTTATTTTCTCTTTGTGTAAGAATTACTGCATCATTTGCAAAAAAAAAAAATAAAATAATCCAGTGATATGTACTGGAAAAAATATTCTTCAGGAGTACCAAAGCCAAGCCTATCTCTGTTTTGCTGTGGTACCATTTAAATTTGATTTGACTTCAGCCTTGGAAACTTTTGATGTGAAGTGATGGCTCTTCAGATTTACATTTTGGTCACGTTTGGGCAACAGATGACTTAAAAGAGGGTGGGTTATACTCAAGTTGGACTTAAGTTTCATATTTGATGAGGATTAGAATTTTTTTTTGTTGAACATTACTTGAGAAATACTTCTTAGAAACGGCAAGTTGTAGCATCTTGTTCTAAGATTTAATTAAAAATGAGGTTATGTTTACTCAGCACATGTTGGAGTTAATTATAGATTTACTAAAATGAAAAGCTTAATGTTTTGCCAAGTCAAGAGCAAAAGCTAAGTAATTAAACAAAGAACAGGGTATGGTTTATGATCCCAGCCCATCTTTTGGCAAAGTTCCCTTCAAGAAGCGGGGGGGGGCGGAAAAAAAAAATCTATCAGCAGTTGTCTTTACATGAGTTAGACCAAGTTTCCCTTTCGTGTTTGTTGTCAGGGAACTTAAAAAACCAAGAGTTGAGTGCATTGATCAGGCAAAAAAATAAATGCAGTCAAAGAATACCAAACTTGACGCCAACTGTGCAATGCTGTTTCTTTAATCTGTAAAGTGAAAGTGCAGGTGACTGGGGAGCGCCAGCAAGTTGCTGTTGCCGAAGGGGGGTACAGATCTCTGCAAG